GGGGGGGAGGGGGATCTGAATGATCCTGACTAACTTTCGACAGGGTTCGAACTACTGTCGTTGTCAGGTGGTCTCTGGTTTGGGCTGGGGATAAAAACCCCAGGCTTACTCAAAGGGCTCGCTGGGGTCCTGAGCACCTTTTGAATCATCTGTTCAGAAAACGGACAGCCTCTCTGTTGTCCTTGGTCTGACATTACATAGTCACAGTCAGGTGGGGTCTTTCTGGATAGGGGTCTTTTGGTCCCTTAGGGTTTGGATCTCACCCACTCTCAGCAGCTATCTCTTTGGGCCACACACAGGAGCTCACTTGGCCTACAAAATCAGCAGCACAGGGTGTCTGCCTACCGTTAGAGGTCATCAGAGCCAGTGCTGCCTGCGAGATGTTCCTACGTCTCAGTGAACTGGGCTGGCGATCACTGTGGTATGAATCTCTCTGGCTCCTTTTTGGACTCAACTAGCTGCTGGTTTGACTCACACTCTGCAGATCTCTCCCTTGCAGCGGATCCCTTCATCCCAGCCTGCCTCTGCTTCTTCAACTATCTCCTCATGGAGTGCAGCATATATATAATTTTATTGGTGGGGGGGGGGTGTCGTACAACTCATCACATCCATACACACAGCCATTGTGTCAAGCACATTTGTACATTTCTTGCCATCATCATTCTCAAAACATTTGCTTTCCACGTGAGCCCTTGGTATCAGCTTCTCGTTTTTTCCCTCCCTCCCTGCTCCGCCCTCTCTCATGAACCCTTGATAATTTATAAATTATTATTATTTTGTCATATATTACACTGTCTGACGTCTCCCTTCCCCACTTTTCTGTTGTCTGTCCCCCAGGGAGGAGGTTATATGTAGATCCTTGTAATTGGTTCCCCCATTCTACACCCCTTCCTTCCACTCCCCCGGTATCACCACTCTCACCACTGGTCCTGAAGGGATCATCTGTCCTGGATTTCCTGTGTTTCCAGTTCCTATTTGTACCAGTGTACATCCTCTGGTCTAGTCAGATTTGTAAGGTAGAATTGGGATCATGGGTGGGGGGGAGAAGCAATTAAGAACTAGAGGAAAATTGTATGTTTCATCATTGCTACACTGCACCCTGACTGGCTCGTCTCCTCCCTACGACCCTTCTGTAAGGGGATGTCCAGTTGCCTACAGATGGGCTTTGGGTCCTGACTCTGCACTGTCCCTCATTCAAAATGATATGATTTTTTGTTTTTCGATGCCTGGTACCTGATCCCTTCGATACCTCGTGATCACACAGGCTGGTGTGTGGTTTTTCATTTCTAATTGGATTGCACGGTGGTGAGGGGAGCTGACGTATATATTGCTCTTTGGGTGGAAACATGTGTACCAAGATGTTTGCCCATTCACTTATGGTCATTTGGCATGAATGTTTCCTGTGTTTATGAAAGTGATACGCATTCCCTGCTTCTATAGTTTTCTGAGGATGTAGGGCACTATCTTAGTTATCTCTTGTTGCTGGAATGGAAACATCACAAGTGAGTAGCTTTAATGAACAGAAATTTGTGTTCTCACAGTTTAGGAGTCTGGAAGTCTGCATGGAGGGTGCTGGCTCTTGGGGAAGACTCCGTCTCAGCTCTGGCGGATGATCTTTGTCTCAGCTCTCCTCCGGGGTTCAAGGGTAATCAAGGTAGCACATACAAGAAGATTCCAGAGAAAGGCAAGGCTTTCTACTCCCACAAATAGTTTCTGTCTCAAAAACCCACTGGTCCTATAGGGTCGCTAGGAGTCAGAATCAACTCGACACCGGTGAATTTAGTTTGGTTTTACAGGAGAAGAATCTTTTCCCGAATCTTTCTCCCGAATCTTCCTGTATGTGCTACCTCGATTAGCCATTTCGTATCTCAAAAGATTTTTACTTAGGACACATCCTATATGAATCCCCCGGAATGTACACAAAAGCTGGACAATCCATAAGGAAGTCCGAAGGAGAATCCATGCCTTTGAATTACAATGCTGGCAAAGAACATTGAGTGTGCCATGGGCAGCCAGAAGAACAAACAAATACGTCTTGGAAGAAGAACAGCCAGAGTCCTCCTTAGACGGGAAGATGGCATGAGGGCAATGCATGTACACATGTGCTGTGCACAGTGGATGGATGTATGGATTGTGATAAGAGTTGCATGAGCCCCTAATAAAATGATTTTTTTTAAAGCGTCTGAAAGATCACAGAAAGATCTAGAATAAGTCTTAGCTGCCTAGAAAAATAAAAAGATTTACCAAACTACACACACACAAAAGAAGTAAAGATGGCAAGAGTTTGTCTCACATCCGTTGCATATGTATCGAGGAAGACCAGTTCCTGGAGAAGGCATCTTGCTTAGTGAAGCAGAATGCGCTGGAAAAGTGCAAGCCCCCCAGTGAGATGGAGTGACACAGGAGCTCCACCAAAGGGCTCAGACACAGCCGTGATTGTGAGGCTAGTACGGGACCGGACAGTGTTTGACACAGGGGTGCTGTGAGTTACAAGTGACCTGATGGCGCCTGACAACAACAAGCACACTGCCTCACTAGCATAACAAAGAAAAAAACCGATTCTCAAATGGTTTATAACCATAGGTACAGAGGTTAGCCTTTCCAACACATATTTTTTGGAGGGCACACAACTCAATTCATAACACTCCACCCTTTGGCTTCTTATAGTGCATGTCCTTCCCACATGCAAAACATAGTCACCCTTTCATAACATCCCCAAAGTCTTAAATCAATTCCAGTCCAAAATGTCATCTTCTGAAACATCTAAATAAAAGATGGGTGGGACTTCTGGCATATACTATCTGGGGGCAAAATTCCTCTTCATTGGTGAATCTGTGAAATCTAGAATAGTAGCTGTCCCTTTCCAAAACACAGTGGTGGACCAGGCGTAAAGCAGACATTTCCATCACACACGAGGGACATTGCAGGGAGAAAAAGGACAGGCACTAAAGAGTCCAAAAGGTAGCAAAACAAAGTACACGAGCTCTCAAGGCATGAAAATAATTCTCTGTTCTGTGGGACCATCCGGGCACTGACCCCGCCCTCCAGCCTCTGGGATGTTGGCCATGTCTTCTGGGTCGTGGGTGGAGGCTCCTGGACCGTGGGCTTTATCCCCACCAAATAGACCCACTTGCATGACAGTGCGGGTCCCTCAGCTCTGGGTGGCCCTCTAGTTCTCCTACTGCCCAGGACTACCATTGGTCGTAGTAGCTGGCAGACGAGAAGAGTTTTCAGGGTCGAGTTCTAGGACCACAAAGCAGAGAAAGGTGCATCTGGACCAGGAAAGCAAGAAATTGACAATTGGCACACATCTCGCGTGTGAGCTTATTATAATTAAAAAAAAATTACAGAGAATTTTCTGTGCTTAAGTTTT